CGATTGTGACTTATAAATTTGGTTGTAAAGTAAATAATGATTCAGTTGGAGATTTTAAGTTCAGTTGTAGATTCTGAATTCGGTTGTAACTTATAAATTCAGTTGTAGCTTCTAATTCGGTTGTAACTCACAACTTTGGTTGTAAAATAAATTATATGTTTGGCTGTAGCTTCTTATTCGGTTGCAATTTCTAATTTGGTTGTGTCTTATTAATTTGGGTTTAAAATAAATTATACGTTCAGTTGTAGCTTCTAATACGGTTGTTGTAAATCATAAATTCGGTTGCAAATTAAATTATAAGTCGGTTGTAAATCATAAATTCGGTTGTGAATCATAAATTCGGTTGCAAACTAAATTAAAATTCAATTGTTAATTATTAATTCGATTGTGAATTATAAATTCGGTTGTGAATCATAAATTCGGTTACAAACTAAATTATAATTCGGTTGTTAATTATGAATTCGATTGTGAATCATAAATTCGGTTGTAAAGTAAATTAAAATTCGGTTGTAGCTTCTAATACGGTTGTAAATCATAAATTCGGTTGCAAAGTAAATTATAAGTCGGTTCAAAATTATAAATTCGGTTGTGAATTACAAATTCAGTTGTAAATCATGAATTAGGTTGTAAATCATAAATTCGGTTACAAACTAAATTATAATTCGGTTGTAAATTATGAATTCGATTGTGAATCATAAATTCGGTTGTAAATCATAAATTTAGTTACAAAGTAAATTATAATTCGGTTGTAAATTATAAATTCGGTTGTAAATCATAAATTCGGTTGTGAATCATAAATTCGGTTGCAAACTACATTAAAATCCAATTGTTAATTATTAATTCGATTGTGAATTATAAATTCGGTTGTGAATTATAAATTCGGTTGTGAATCATAAATTCGGTTGTGTATTATAAATTCGGTTGCAAACTACATTAAAATTCAATTGTTAATTATAAATTCGATTGTGAATTATAAATTCGGTTGTGAATCATAAATTCGGTTACAAACTAAATTATAATTCGGTTGTTAATTATGAATTCGATTGTGAATCATAAATTCGGTTGTAAATCATAAATTTGGTTACAAAGTAAATTATAATTCGGTTGTAAATCATAAATTTGGTTGTGAATCATAAATTCGGTTGCAAACTACATTAAAATTCAATTGTTAATTATAAATTCGATTGTGAATTATAAATTCAGTTGTGAATTATAAATTTGGTTCTTAATCATAAATTCGGTTGTAAAGTAAATTAAAATTCGGTTGTAGCTTCTAATTTGGTTGTAAATTATAAATTCGGTTGTGAATTATAAATTCGTTTCTAAATCATAAATTCGGTTGCTGAGTAAATGGCAATTCGGTTGTAAATTATAAATTCGGTTGTAAATCATAAATTCGGTTGTGAATCATAAATTCGGCTGTGGCTTCAAAATTCGGTTGCAACTTCAAATTCAATTTGAAATTATCATAATCGGTGGGTAATTTGTAACCCATAAATATGGTCGCACCTTCAAAATTCGTGTCGTTTAATGAGAAATGCGAAAAGGATGTGTATTGGATGTGGAATGCGTTGGTACCGGAAACTGACATTTTCGGCGTAATGATACACTGGCTCCAGCCAATAAGCACGACCTTTGCACCAGCTGCGGTGACATTAGCATTGCACAATCCATTCTACTACCTCCTCCCTCTGGAGCCAGGACAACCGTTACCACCACGTTTCTCCATCTCACTTATCTTGAATTGTGCTGCGGACACGAATTGATTCTGAAATAGAGGGATAATTTGTCCCAATGGAAAAGGGGCTACAACACCAAGTTAGAAATTACATGCCAGTGACTAAATACTGTCTTGCCTCAAAATGCCAAATTAAGTTAGTTCAAAAACTAAAAAGTTTTAAAGGTCCAGTAGGATCTATTAGGATCCAGTAGGATCCAGTAGGATCTAGTAGGATCTAGTAGGATCTAGTAGGATCCAGTAGGATCCAGTAGGATGAAAGTGATTCTAATGTTCATAAAATCTCAGGATGAATCCTAATGATAAACTGAATTAATTTCTTGATTCATTGCAACAAGTAATTAACAGTTTACCTTTGTTTTACTTTTATTTAATTGTTTACCTAGTTGTTTATCTAGTAAATTTAATTTCAGTGTATTTACCTTTGTAATTTTAATTTATTCCCTACCTTATTTCTAAATTTAATTTTAATTTAATGTTTACCAGCAGTAAACAGTTATGTTAGCCTTTCGTCTTCTGTCCTTTCGCGTCTCCTTTCATACCAAAAAAAAAAAAAAAAAACAAGAAGGTGAAATGAAAATACTACTTCTTATTTCTTTTTTTTATTGCCGGAGTTTGGCGCGCAAATCTGTCTTTCTGTAGTATTAGAGGAAAAAAAACTTTTTTCATCTAGAAGAGATTTTCTTGTTTTACAACATCTCTGTTGCGAGATATTGGATAGAGAATATTATAATAGAGAAAATTATAAAGAAAATTTTGAAGGAAATTATAAAGGAAATTATAAAGATAAAATATTTATATAATTAATAAATAAATTATAAAGAAAATTAGCAGAGGAAATATTAATGCTAAACTAAACTAGACAATATCCCAACAATACTTTTTTCTTATATAGTATATCAAAGTGAGAATTTTCGATTTCTCTAATTAAGAATATCGTGTGTATAATTTAATATTTAATGAATTTTTAATTAACTCGAAGGTGATTGAGTGGCTATAGTTGATTGGAAGCATGCCTTTGATGTTTCCCATGCTGCACTTAATATCTTTATAATCTCTTAATTTTCCCTGTCAGCAGCAAGTTCCTCGACCTTAAAAAAAAAAATTTTTTTGCTTCATATACACATTATGCACACGCGTACGTGATACCACCTTTATATACTCAATTTTCATGGCTCTTGAATATTTTATAACCGCAAAGACTAATTTCATGAAACATGTTAAAACATGCAAGTATGCACAGTCTTCATTAGGAACAAGTATGTGTCGCATACTAAATTTCTATGTTAAGACTGTTTTCATCAACTTGGATATTGTATATATTCCAGCAAAATAAATTTTCTTCACTGCGACGTGTGAATAACTTGGATCAATTGTGTTTCAATATTGCTGTTCAATATTGCCAATTAATATTTTCAAAAGGTTATGAATTATTTATTTTATTCATTATTATTTTTTTTTATTATTTTATTTATTTTACATATTTATTTATGAATTATTTAATTACTATTTTAATTTTTTTACTATTTGTACTGTTTTTCAGTCTTTTGTACTATTTTTTTTACTACTTTTACTAATTTTTATTATTTTCATTCAATATGGAGACGCTATTCTCCACCTGCGAACGCCAAGGTCACCGCTAGATGGCTAGACGCCATCTAGCGATGACCTTGGCGTTCTCAAGTGAAGAAATTCAATCATTTTCTTAAAAAAAAATTATTTTTTCAATTAAAAAATGTTATTTGTGAGACTATTTAATTTTTCTTTCAGTAAAATCTTTAATCAAACTTTAAATTTCCTGTTAAAATAAAAAGAAATACCAATTTTCATTAAAAAAAAAATATTTACTTTTTTTCTTATCTTGCAAATAACTTAAATTCTAATTATTTGTAAAATACAATTATTTTTTAAATTTCAATTTTAAATACTTCAAAAGGTACGATTAATATTTAAAAATAATTTTTTAAAAGTACAAAAAATCAAAGTTCTTTAAAATATAAAAATTTATTTAAATTAAAATCTTTTGAAATTTAATTATTAATTATTAATTTCTTTCGGAAATTTTTATTACAATTATATTTGAAATAATTCCAGCGAACAATAAAATTTTGTTAAATTTTTTTGTAAATAATTAAAAAAAAATGAAATTTTTGTAAAGAATTTTATTGTAGACGTAAATAGATGAATTCTTGCATAGAATTTGTTGTGAAGAATTTTATTAAATTTTTTTCGAGATTTTAATTTAAAATTCTATTGAAAATAATTTAATTCTTAAAAAAAAGAATAATAAATTTAATTCTTATAAAAAAAGAATAATTTTTTATATGAAAAAATAATAATAAAATAAATAATAATAATAATAATAATAATAATAATAATAATAATAATAATAATAAATAAAAATAATAAAAGAAATAAAATAACATATTTATCAGAATTAAAAATATTCCATATCGTCTGTTAAATTTGCAAAAAGCGAATATCGATTTTATTGCTTCTACATTACTTTTCCGTTCTGATAGATTCAATTAACTGAAAGCATTAATTATTAAAAATATGTTGAACAGAATTTATTGTACGTATGAAAATAATCAATTCTCATTTGGAATTTATATAATTATATCTATTTTGATGTACATGAGAAATATTGTACAATTCAATACAATACAATTGAATTTATTTCATATAAGTAATTAACAAATGAATATAAATTTTACAAAAAAAAAAAAAAATTTCACCTTTCATTTATGTTCTTCGACTATTCGAAGAATCGAATCTTCATTCATTCATCGAATGCATCGAACTGAGAGAGAAATTAATTTTTAAATCATTTAGATAGCACTGAGTATATTATTCATCAAGTGCATAAATAATGCGATCTGTTTTTATTGTATTATGATAAAAAAAATTGCAATTAGTAATTTCTCTTTTTTAAAAGAATAATAAATTTTTAATTCGAGTTTCATAAAGCTTTTACGGGGTAAAATTCTCATTGATGCTTTTTATAGTTTTCGTATATTGTTTTGTGGTAATTTACATTTTTGATGCTTTTTTGGATATTGTTTTGGAGTAATTTGCATTTTTGATGCTTTATTTTTTTGTATATTGTTTTGGAGTAGTTTGAATTTTTTATTCTTTACTTTTTTGTATATTGTTTGGAATAATTTGCATTTTTTTATAATGAGAGAAGAGTGTGTATATATAGCAGACATGTTTTCTTCTTTATTGAATTAGAATTAAATTTATTGTAATTGTCATTCAATGGGAGCAACTGTATAAACAATCTGAATTGAAACAACACTACTTCTGAATTGCTTTAAAAGTTGAATATTCTTTTACGGAAAGCAGAGTGTCTTTTATTGTTTATTAGAAGTGTAGAAAAATTTTTTGAATCTTTTCCTGATTATTACCAAGTGCAGAAGGAATTTTTTAAATCTTTTTCTGTTTATTCCGAGTGGAGAAAAAATTTTGGACTCCTTTCCAGTTTATTATCAAGTGCAGAAAGAATTTTTGAATCATGAAAATTGGATTTTCTTCAGTTCTGTTGATTTTGTGTTTTCAAAGAGTAATTCTTGCAAAATATGGTATGTTCTTTTTAAATTAAATTACAATTTTCTTGAAAGTATCAAAATGATACCAAATGTTTTGGATCAAAATGGTACCAAAAGTTTCGGATTAAAATGATAGCAAAATATCTAATTGATACCAACATTTTTGGATCAAAATGGTACCAAAAGTTTTGGATCAGATTGATACCAAAAGTTTTAAATCAAAATGTTACTAATAGTTCAGATTGATATCAAAAGTTTTGGATCAAAATGGTACCAAAAGTTTTGGATCAGATAGATACCAAAAGTTTTAAATCAAAATGTTACTAATAGTTCAGATTGATACCAAAAATTTGGATCAAAATGATATCAAAAGTTTTGGATCAAAATGGTACCAAAAGTTTTGAATCAAAATGATATCAAAAGATCAGATTGATACCAAAAGTTTTGGATCAAAATGATACCAAAAGTTTAGGATCAAAATGATTATAATAGTTCAGATTGGTACCAAAAATTTGGATCAAAATGCTACCAAAAGTTTTGGATCAGATTGATACCAAAAGTTTAGGATCAAAATGATTATAATAGTTCAGATTGGTACCAAAAATTTGGATCAAAATGCTACCAAAAGTTTTGGATCAGATTGATACCAAAAGTTTAGGATCAAAATGATTATAATAGTTCAGATTGGTACCAAAAATTTGGATCAAAATGCTACCAAAAGTTTTGGATCAGATTGATATTAAAAGTTTAGGATCAAAATGATTATAATAGTTCAGATTGATACCAAAAATTTGGATCAAAATTATACCAAAAGTTTTGGATCAATTTTTGATTTGATCCACGTTGTTGGTAGCAATTCGTTGCACTTTGATATTTTCAAGTTAACAGTGATTTGATTGATTGATTTCAATGGAACGATTAATTGATTGATTGATTTATCGATTGACTTATAATTTTTGAATTTTTAGTACAAAAACCAGACGATGGGGACAAATTTATGAGAATTGTTTTACTGGAAGATTCCGATTCTGAAGAGGATGAAAATGTGGATATTAGAGATTATCCCTGGATGGTTAGTGTTCTAGAGCGAAATGCATACAGTGGTAGATGGAATCACATTTGTGGAGGCAGTTTATTGACGACAAATTTCGTTTTAACTGCACATCATTGTTTGCCGGAAAATAAAAATCCGGATGTTATGTCCATACGTTCAGGTTCAAGTTCGCGAACTGGGGGAATTATTCACTCGGTGAAAGAAATAATTCCACATCCTCAAGGCTATGACGTGAGATATGACTTGGGTATTTTGAAAATTCAACCAAAAATCCAATTTTTGGGTGGTATCAGTCTGCCTATTCAAATTTTCATCGGAAAAGTGGAATCTGGAACTCGTGGCACTGTTCTCGGCTGGGGTTATGCGAATTTGATGTAAGAGAAAAATTTTTATTAATTACTGTACAAAAACTATAATTGCAAGATTGCCACAGATCAGAAATTCAGGGAAAAGATCAGGAATTCAGGGAAAGTAAAATTGGCCAAGAAAATCAGGGAAAAGTTTGGGACTTTTATTAACAGTACTGAAAAAAAAATTAAATTTTTAGAATTTATGAGAAAATTCTGAATATTTTTGTTTTTTTCGTTTGTCTTATAAAAATTTGAATGAATTCTTAATTTGGAGTAAAAAAAACCCCCAGTTTATCAATGAAAGATTATTTTTTAAGGTTTTCAAATAAAATGAACAAATAATTATAATCGAACAATTTGCAGCCCTCCGAGACAAGTCAACTTTCTACGTAAAGCGGAAGTAACACTAATGGGAAGGGATTACTGCGAGAAATTCACAGGAAGGGGAGATTTTTTGCTGTGCTCCTTCGAAACTGATGCTGGAGTTTGTTCTGGAGATTCGGGTGGTCCTTTGGTAATTAATGAGCAATTAGCCGGTGTTATTTCGATTGGTGGATGCGAGAGTCTATCTCACGCAAATAGTTTCGTTAACGTAAGTTATCATCGCGAATGGATCGAGAGTGTCATTGAACCAAAATTCTCGTAGTAATTTTCTTCTCCTAATTTACACACTTTTTCTCGAATTGTATATATAATTTCATAAAAGTAGAAAGTAGAAAATCAAAAACAGAAAATAAAAAATAGAAAAAATTAAATAGAAAATAGAATATAGAAAAAAGTAAATAAAAAATGAAGAATAGAAAATAAAAAAAAAAAAAAAAAAGAAAGACGATAATACAAATAGAAAATAGGACATTGAAAATAGAAAATAAAAAATAGTAAAAAAAAATTAAAAATGGAGAATAGAAAATAAGAAAAGGAAAAATAGAAAAACAACAATAAAAATTGAAAATAGGAAATAAAAAAAAGTAAATGAAAAATGGAGACTAAAAATTAAAAAAATAAAATATAGAAAGACGACAATATAAATATAAAATAGGAAATTGAAAATGGAAAATAGAAAAAGGAAATTGAAAATAGAAAATAGGAAAAAGAAATTAAAAAATGGAGAATAGAAAATGAAAAATAGAAAGACGACAATATAAAATAGAAAAAGGAAATTGAAAATAGAAAATAGGAAAAATAAATTAAAAAATGGAGTATAGAAAATAAAAAATGACAATAAAAATAGAAAATGGAAAATAGAAAATAGAAAAAAGTAAATAAAAACTGGAGAGTAGAAAATAAAAAAATGAAAAGTAGAAAGACGACAATAAAAATAGAAAATAGGAAATAGAAAATAGATAATAAAGAATAGAAAATGGAAAATAGAAAATGGAAAATAGAAAGTAGGAAATTAAAAATGGAAAATAGAAAAATACTATATTAACTGACATAAAAATGTAATTAACTTTTCCTAAAGGCAGTCAGAATTTTCAGTATTGGATAGTAAACAAGTTTTCGTACATTTTTTCCATAAATAAAATCCAAGTGATTTAATTTTCGTCCCTTTACAACGAATTTCCCGATGACATTTGGAAGTTTTGATGCTAAGTGCAATACGTCCTGTAATCAGAAATTTTAGAAATAAAATAAATTTGATTTTTAAAAATTGTTTCTCTTTAATTATTCTCAATCCTCTTTTAGTATATGAATTATTTTCTATTTGCAGGCTTATCAAATTGATCCTAAATTAGAACAAATTAATATTCAAATTTATAATTTTGATTTTGATCAAAAAATTTTGATTTTGAATAAATTTTGTTATCAATTTCTTGCAAATTAATACTTTTGGTGTTGATTTTGATCCACATTTTTCAATTTTTTGCAAATAATACTTTTTTGAGTCAATTTTGAGTTTAATTCACATTTTGCATTATCAATTTTGCTGCAAATTAATACTTTTTGCTAAAGAGGAATTTTTTTTTTTAGAAAAAAAAATTACCCCGGGAGATGTTAGAAAATCGTTAGCTCCATAAAATACAGCAACTGGTACTTTAATCCTTTCAATCGGATATTTAGGAGGAGTTGTTGAATTATATAAATGCAAGTTTTTCACAGGTCCGTAATCGTACTGGCAAAATGCTCCTGAAAAAAAGTTTAATTTAAAATAAAATTTAAAATAAAATTTAAAAATATATATTTGGATCATTCCAGATGAAATTTTCACTAAAAAATTTTTTTTCCCTGCAATATAGAATACACGAACGTTTCCTAAAAGTTGGTGTCGAAAAAAATACTTTTCCCAAAAGAAATAAAACACTTTCGATGTTTTTTAGTTAAGTAGAAAATTTTTTTTAACTCCCTAGGGAAATAAAGAAGTAAAATTAATGAAAATTTCACATGGAACGACCCATTCCGTTTTGTTTTCGTTTTTACTAATTTATATTGTTATGAAAAATGAAATAAACCATTTAATTGTCCAGTGTGATAATGAATTAATTGTTTATATGAACATCCAGCAGGAAAATATGTCATTTGATCGGCTATTCTTTGCTAAAATAATAAAATTTTGTTCATTATATTTCAATTTATTATTAAAATTGTTCTTAAAATTTAAGTTTAAATAAAAATTAATAAAATAATAAAATAAAAATTGACAAAAAACAACTTACCGGATCCATTTCATCAATTCCAATTCCAGCAATACTAAAAACTGCAAAATAGCATAAATTTTGGAATGGATTTCCGAACCAACAGATATTTCTGATAATCACTCTAATAATTGAAAATGCTGGGAAAAATTCGAAATATCCAAAGTTTTCTACAAAAACCTAACAGTATTAATATAAAAATTAAAATTTATTATAAATTAAATCTGATAAATGAAAATTTCAAAACTTTGTCTATTAAATGTGTCTTAAAGCTTCTAAAGTATATTTAATTAAGAATGATTTCAGAAATTTTATTAAAATTGTATTTAAAACATTTCAAAAAAAAAAAAAAATACAAATTAAATTGTTTCGAAAAAAAATTAAATTCATGATAATTATATCGAATACCGCTTTTCGTGTGTAAAACATTTTCTGCTTTAATTATAAAGTTTTCAAAAATATTCAATTTTTATTTTTTATTGTAGGATCAGTAATTTTCGATAAAATTTATAATGAAAAAGATATTTCGTTCATGTGAACTTTCAGAGCATGTTGCTCATTAAATTATTTACTTAAATTCGATGTAAATTTAATTAAATTTAAAAAATTTGTTTTTTAAATATTCTCAATTTTATGTTGAACAAAAAAAATATATTTTTTAATAAATAATTTAATGAGAACTTTTTAATTTAACTAATTAAATTAATGTTTAATTGCATTAATTTAATTAATTAAATTATTTTTAAATAAATAATTTAATGGTTAACATGCTCTGAACGTTGAGAGAATTTTTCATTTAAAATTTTTAAATTTATAAAAACTAAATTTTTTCTTTAGTTTTCTATTAAATTAAAAATTTAATTAAATTAAAAAAGCAATTGAAATAAAATTTTTAATTTGAGGAATTCTATGACTTTTTCAAGTATAGCAATTTTGAAAGGTTTTGTCGTTGTATTACGCACTAAAAAAAAAAGTTTTACTTTCAGCCTATTTTTGAGGCTGAATTTAAGGTGTAAACGGAGTCAGACTTTTTTTTTCCTGTGTATATGAAGTTTAGTTTAGTGCATACCTTCGATAATAAAATTATATTATGCACCAGTGCATTAAGCCCCTTTGTGTATTTGAAATAAGCCGCTGGTGCCATTGCAGCAGTGAATCGTATTTTTTTATTATACTCTGGTTTCAACGAGCCCATCACTAAAAATTGTGTACATCCTTGTGAATAGCAAATATAGTTGAGATCATTCGTGTTGGTCTCTTTCAAAATATAATCGATCATTGCCGGCAAATCGTAAATTCCAAACTCGTGCCAACTTTATGTGAAAACAAAATTCATACTATTAATTACACTATTAATTATACTGTTAATTACACTATTAATTACACTTTTTATTCTACTATTATTTACACTATTAATTATACTGTTAATTACACTATTAATTACACTTTTTATTCTACTATTAATTACACTATTAATTATACTGTAATTTACACTATTTATTACACTATTAATTATACTGTTATTTACACTATTAATTATACTGTTATTTACACTATTTATTATACTGTTAGTTACACTATTAATTATACTGTTAATTACACTATTAATTACACTTTTTATTCTACTATTAATTACACTATTAATTATACTGTAATTTACACTATTTATTACACTATTAATTATACTGTTATTTACACTATTAATTATACTGTTAATTACACTATTAATTACCCTTTTTATTCTACTATTAATTACACTATTAATTATACTGTTAATTACACTATTAATTATACATTAATAGTATAATAATAGTTCAAAACAGCAAAATTAATAGTGAAATTAACAGCAAAATTAATAGTGAAATTAACAGTATAATTAATAGTGTAATTAACAGTATAATAGTATATTATAATTAATTTTTTTCGATCAATTGAGAGAAAAATTTCGTTTACCTAAAGTCCCAAAATCCATAGCTAGTTTCCAAGAAGTGTGTGTGATTTTTTCCAAAAGTGTTGCCACGATTGTTTCCTAACCACACGTCGTATCCATTTTCAACTAGTAAAAATGCTGTGTAAAAAAATAACGTTAAAAGTTAAAATAGTTTAGTATTTTTTTTAATCTCAATTTCTCTAAGGATATCAGATTGAGACAAAAAAACGTATCAAAATTGTTGCCTAAATCTGATATCCTTATAGAAAAACTGTGATTCGTTATCTTTTTATTCTAATTTTAATTAAATATAATTCTACTTTAATTATTAAAATTAATTAATTGAATTAATTAATAAAAATACAATATTTCTATTTTTTTATTTTATTTCATTGAAATAATTGTACCCAGTGAAGTGTTGGGACCAGTTACAACCCAATCTGCAGAACTCATTACGAGACCGTGCATTATTAATACCGGAGGTTTTCCATTCCTGACACTTTCACCTTTAATCCCAGGAATTCTTTGGATTTCAAGAATATAACCATCTTGCGTTATGACATGATGAGTTTGCACCAAATATCCATAGTCCTCTATCAATCTTGTCTTGGATTTTTTTTTTAGTAGCAGAAAATCATGATTATTTCGTTATAATTCATTAATTACTAATTACTATATAATCAAAATTTTTATCATTCAATTTACATTCATTATTCGAGAAGCATTTTTTGCCATTTGACTTTGACTTTTGATTTTATTTTCATTTTGACATTGACTTATTGATTTTGACTTTAATTTTAACTTTGAATTTGACTGTGATTTTAACTTTGACTTTGATTATGATTTTAACTTTAACTTTGCCCATTATTTTAACTTTGACTGTAGTTTTTAATATGTTTTGCCTTTTTCACTTTGACCATCATTTTAAATTTAACTTTGGTCATGATTTTAACTTTGTCTTTGACTATGATTTTAACTTAGACCATGATTTTAACTTTGACCGTGATTTCAACTTGGACCATAATTTTAATTTTAACTTTGATTTTTAACTCTGACTATGATTTTAACTTAGACCATGATTTTAAATTTGACCATGATTTAAACTTTAACCATGATTTTAACTTTGACTTTGACTATGATTTTAACTTTGAGGTTTACTGTAGTATTAACTTTGCTTTGCCTTTTTGACTTTGACTATAATTTTAAATTTAACTTTGTCCATGATTTTAAATTTGACTTTGAGTGCAGCTTTAAATTTGATTTGCCTTTTTTATTTTGACAATGATTTTAAATTTAACTTATTGGCCATGATTTTAATTTTTACTTTGAGTTTGACTGTAGGCTTAACTTTGCTTTGCTTTTTTGAATTGATTTTAACTTTGACTATGATTTTAATTTTGACTGTGACCATATTTTGATTTTGACCATGATTTTAAATTTAACTTTGGCCATGATTTTAACTTTGCTTTGCCTTTTTGATTTTGATTTTAACTTTGACTTTGACTATGATTCTAACTTTGACTGTAGCTTTAAATTTGATTTGCCTTTTTGACTATGATTTTAAATTAAACTTTGGTCAAACTTTTAACTTTGCTTTGCCTTTTTGATTTTGATTTTAACTTTGACTTTGACCATGATTTTAGGTTTGACTTTGACTATGATTTAAATTTCTTCCCCTGATAAAAATATTTTCGACTTACAATTTTTTTCGCCGTATCCGGAATTATTCCTTGGGACAAATCGAAAACATAACAATAAAGAAGGAGAATAAAATAAATTTTATTTCCCATCGAAACTAATGTCACTGACGCTACGAAGAAACTAACAATAATTTTGCTTACAACTTTATCCCAAGGAAGATCTGTTTAGATAAATGCTGCTCAATTAAAAGCAACTTAAGCTTTTTTTTTTATTCTAATTTTCTCACGCAAACACCTTTGCGACAACTCGCATGTTTACATTGATGTATTGTACTATCAATTATAATTAATAATAATCACTGCAAGAGTTTTGTAAATTTTCCAAAAAAAAAAAAAAAATAATATTGACGAAAAAAAAATTTTTACGAGAACAAAGAGAATAATAAATCAGAATTATTTTCCTCATTCCTCTAATGCAATAAAATTTGCTTGCAAGATGGCAAAATAGCCTTTAATATAAATTAGAGTACAATCAGTTCATGTCCGCATCTTGTTCATGAAGGTAATATAACACTCAATGAGTTTTTTTTTTATTGTACAAAAAAAATATAATCAGTTAATGTCCATTTACTTGTTCGCGAAGGTAACATAACACTTAATGTATAATTTTTTTCGAGCAATTAATAATCGTGCTATTAATGTGAATAAATTATAGAAACAATTAAAAAAAATTCTCCAAGAGGTTAAATTGTAAGTCAAGGTTCTGCAATTTCCTTGTTTCAAATAAATCATAACCTATTGTACGAAAAAAAATTTTGATTCTTTCAAAATGCAAAATTCACTCACGTAAAATTGATTTCTTCACATTATTATTGTCACTTAACACTTGAAAAACATTTCACCTTTTTAATATTTATGTGCATTTGTTATTCAAATTTATTATGAATTCCAACTGGTCTTGGAGACAACCTTTTTTTTCGCAGTAATTCTGATATTAAATTACAATTTAGATAACTATAATGTGGATAAAATAAAGGAAATTATTTTCTCTGAATCAATTATTATTTTTATTACCAATTTCTTTTTTTTTTTTTTTTAATTTTTATTGAACAAAGTTGACAAATTTATGCAATTGATTTCATGTACTTGATGAAAACTTTGTGAGCTTGATTATAGACGAGTTCTTTTATTTCCAAACCAAAAAGAAAATCGTAGTGATTCAATTCCTTTTCTTTAATCAATTGTCTTTCAACTAGATTTGGAAGTTTCGTGCCAAGCAGTTCTATGTCCTGAAATATATATTTTTTTAAATTGGAAATGAAAATATCTTTTAATGGAAGTTTTATTTTAATTGTTTTTTATTGTTTTTTATTGGTTTTTTATTGGTTTTTATTGTTTTTTAATTTTTTTTTATTGTTTTTTAATTATTTTTTCCATACGGACAAAATATTTTTCAAAATAGACTCAATTATAAATTTCATATGAAAATTGATTGTTTCCATATTTAATACTATTCAAATGTGCTTTAATAATTAATGATTTCATTTAACCGAAAATTAATAATGCAGGGATAATAATCGACGTTCGCTTTTTGTAATATGTTTGTGGACAAATATTTGTAGATAATACTATATTTTCTATAAATATTATTAATATTTGTGGATAATATAATAATGTTTGTCGATAATATTACTAATATTTATATATTAACTACAATAATCTTCATATTTCATAATACAATAATATTTGGAAATAATAATAATGTCATAATAGTATTTGGAGATAATATAATTTAACCTACCTGAGGTGTTGCTACATAATCATTTGTTCCATGGTACATTGCAATTGGAATATCGACATTTTCCAACGGATATTCCGGAGGAGTGGTGGAATTATAAATTTTTTTGTTTTTCTTTTTGCCATAGTCGTACAATCTAAAGTGACCTTTGACAGAAGGAAAAGAAAACTGTTCATAAAAGAAAGTAGAAAAATAATTTAATTGTTATTTTTACAGCATACATTTCTAATTAATTTTAGATAATTAATTTTTAGTAATTTTTAATTTTTATCCAACCTTTATTCCAGTAATTCATTCCGTAATGGATCACTTGCTTCCAAGAAGAACCCGCCGGCTCATATGTAAGGAAATTCTCAATGTGAACCTATTTCAGAAATTAGTGATTTTATTTTATTTCAGTTTTCTTTTACGTTCAGTTTCAATTTAATTCCATTCGATTTGTTTCGATGCAGGCCAATTTAATTCAGTTCGCTTCGATTCAGTACAATTTAGTTCACTTGCAATTAGAATCAATTTTAATGATACTCCAAAAAATTTTGCATTCTCTGTTTGAAATTATAAATTCTAATCTTTAATAAAATTTGCAACTTACACGATCCACTTCGTCGTATCCGAAGCCAACTACGGTAAAAATTAAAAATATACACAACTCCTGCGAAATAGCTTGTTTTGAGCAGAACGATTGTAGAAAAATTCTTAACGTTGGATTAGCATTCGCTATGGAAAAATACCCCAGTTTCTCTGATACGTACTGTGTAGTAAACATTATTTATTATTTGATGCGCAACTTTTCTAAGAATATCAAAATTGAGACAAGAAACGTATCAAAATTGTTGCACTGTAAAAAGGGAACGTTTTTGAGACAAAAAATCGTATCAAAATTGTTGCACTGCAACAGAAAAACTTTTTTGAAACAAATATTGTATCAAAATTGTTGCACTGCAACAAAAAAACATTTTTGAGACAGGAAACATATAAAAAAATATCACTAAACTATCACAGTTTGTCTAAGGATGTACAAACTTTATATACTATCACAGTGATAGTATAAAGTTAAACAAACAAACAAGTTTACTGTACAGCAATACTATTCGATTAAAATTTGCTAGTAAAATTTGTAAATTTGTTTGTTAGTATATTTTCTGACGAAAAGAAATTACCATTGCAGGATAAACTATTGGTTTCAGTAGTGAAAGGATTCCCTTTATGTTTCCCATAAATGCCCCAGGTGCCAAAAGTATGGCATACTGTACTTTCTTGTTGTACTCTGGTTTCAATGATCCCATCACTAATAATTGCGTACATCCCTGAGAAAATCCGACGTACAGAAGCTTCTCCTCGCCTGTTTTATTCAAAATATAATCTATCATTGCGGGCAAATCGTAGATTCCCATCTCGTGCCAACTGGAATTGAAGATGATTATTTTAAAAATCATAAAAATCATAAAAATTGGGTTTATTTTACCATCTCAGAAATATTGGTTCTCTACCTAAAATTCCAATAGTCGTTGCTTGTTTATAATTTTGTTTTGTGTTTTTGACTGTAAGTGTTACCTCTATTGTTTCCCAACCACACGTCATAATTCTTATCAGCCAACATCAATGCTTAAAGTAATGATTAAAGTTAATGATTACAATATGCAGTACAATATTCAGTATAATATACAGTACAATATGTAGTACAATATGCAGTATAATATACAGTACAATATACAGAAAGTCAAGAACCATACAGCTTCTTTGTATTTACACAAAAATAAATGATACAAAATAAATGCCCATGTGAAAGATGATGAACATTAAAATATTAGAAGTACTATTATAAATAGTGTTTAATATTTAAGGGCATGAGAATTAAATAATAAGGTATGCAATATGGCAATTAATAAGGTATCTTTCAGGAGGAGATCATGGTCATTAAAAATATTAGAGACATAACATAGAACATAACAAAAAGAGTACTTGATGAATATTGTAAAACTGTTACCGAACGACCTGTTTGGACCCGTTATTAACCATGAAGCCGAAGAACTAATGAAGCCATGCATCATAAGTACAACTTGCTTCTTAGCCGTAGAATTTTGTGCTTCATTTCTGCCTCCTGATATTCGATGAAGTTCCAAAATGTAATCATCGTCAGTTGTTGTCTCATGAACTTCGAACGGATAGCCATAACCGGTAACGAGAGTTTTCTAAGAAAAACATTCGCAAATTTTAATTAAGTACAGAAATTTAATTCATTACACCAAACACTGTATTTAGAAAAACCATTTTTAATACAGTTACAGTAAAAAATCTATGTATAAATTTCTTTTTTTGCAGTAACTGCTAAACAATAAAATTATCGACTTCATTTGTTTAGGAACAACTTCAAATACAAGGCATCCGTAGATTTTACTGTACATTGTCATAAAATGTTTGTTTAGAATTGTTCAGAAATGTTTAGAACATTTCTGAAGAAACGAAAAGAATTTTTCCACGAAACCAAAAATAATACAACAATTTTCGAAGTTGTTAAGTTAAAATTGTCATTAAAAATTTCTATTTAGAAAAAATTTTTTTTTCTTGATTTTTTCATATCAAAAAATAAAAGACCTACAAGTTTGACATCTGTGCCAGGACGTTTACTTTCGGCAAATAAAATAAGGCACAAAAATATTTTTAAAATAGCTGGCACAAAATTTGTCGTATTCATGCTTACTCAACGACTTTGTGTTCTCGTTTAACAAAATATGAAACAAATTATGACTCAAACAAATTGTTGTGATAACCAACAATGTATAAAAGTTTTTAATGTATAATAATTAAAAGAAAGAATGTAAACATTATATGTAACTTTATGTAAACTTTATCGCTAAGACAAAAAACAACTGGTTTCCATTTGTAAATATTATTGAAAAAGCAAATATTTATTTATGCTGCAACTTATATAAAAAGCGAATAGAAAAAACAGAAAAGTAGAAAAAATAGAGAAATAGAAAAAAAACAGAAAAATAGCAAAAATAGCAAAAGCAGAAAAATAAAGAAATAGAGAAATAGAAAATAGAAAAAATAGAGAAATAGAAAACAAAAATAAAAAAATAACAGCAAAATAGGAAAAATAGCAAAAGCAAAAAAAAATAAAAAAAAAATAGTAAAAATAGAGAAATAGTGAAAAACAGAAAAATAGGAAAAATAGCAAAAGCAGAAAATTAAAGAAATGTAAAAAAAGAAAAATACATAGAAAAAATAGGAAAAATACCAAAAGCAGAAAAAAATAGAAAAATAGTAAAAATAGAAAAAATAGCAAAAGCAGAAAAATAGAAAAAATAGAAAATACATTTAAAAAATAGGAAAAATACCAAAAGCAGAAAAAAATAGAAAAATAGTAAAAATAGAAAAAATAGCAAAAGCAGAAAAATAGAAAAAATAGAGAAATGGAAAAAATAGAAAATACATTTAAAAAATAGGAAAAATACCAAAAGCAGAAAAAAATAGAAAAATAGTAAAAATAGAAAAAATAGCAAAAGCAGAAAAATAGAAAAAATAGAGAAATGGAAAAAATAGAAAATACATTTAAAAAATAGGAAAAATACCAAAAGCAGAAAAAAATAGAAAAATAGCAAAAGCAGAAAATAGAAAAAATAGGAAAAATAGAGAAATGGAAAAAAACACGAAAATAGCAAAGGCAGAAAAAATAGTAAAAATAGAGAAATAGAAAAAAAATAAAAATAGAGAAATAGAAATAATCAGAAAAAAAGGAAAAATAGCAAAAGCAGAAAAATAAAGAAATATAAAAAAAGAAAAATACATAGAAAAAATAGGAAAAATACCAAAAGCAGAAAAAATAGAAAAATAGTAAGAATAGCAAAAATAGCAAAAGCAGAAAAATAGAAAAAATAGTAAAAATAGAGAAATGGAAAAAATAGAAAATACATTTAAAAAAATAGGAAAAATACCAAAAGCAGAAAAAAATAGAAAAATAGTAAAAATAGAAAAAAACAGAAAAATAGCAAAAGCAGAAAATAGAAAAAAATAGGAAAAATAGAGAAATAGAAAAAATAGAAAAATAGAGAAACAGCAAAAGCAGAAAAATAGAGAAATATAAAAATAGAAAATTAGAAGTAATAGAGAAAATAGGAAAAATAGGGAAATGGAAAAAAACACGAAAATAGCAAAGGCAGAAAAAATAGTAAAAATAGAGAAATAGAAAAAAAATAAAAATAGAGAAATAGAAATAATCAGAAGAAAAGGAAAAATAGCAAAAGCAGAAAAATAAAGAAATATAAAAAAAGAAAAATACATAGAAAAAATAGGAAAAATAGGAAAAATACGAAAAGCAGAAAAAATAGAAAAATAGTAAGAATAGCAAAAATAGCAAAAGCAGAAAAATAGAAAAAATAGTAAAAATAGAGAAATGGAAAAAATAGAAAATACATTTAAAAAAATAGGAAAAATACCAAAAGCAGAGAAAAATAGAAAAATAGTAAAAATAGAAAAAACAGAAAAATAGCAAAAGCAGAAAATAGAAAAAAATAGGAAAAATAGAGAAATGGAAAAAATAGAAAAATAGAGAAACAGCAAAAGCAGAAAAATAGAGAAATATAAAAAAAGAAAATTAGAAGTAATAGAGAAAATGGGAAAATAGGAAAAATAGGGAAATTGAAAAAAACAGGAAAATAGCAAAAGCAGAAAAAATAGTAAAAATAGAGAAATAGAAAAAAAATAAAAATAGAGAAATAGAAATAATCAGAAAAAAAGGAAAAATAGCAAAAGCACAAAAAAATGGAGAAATAGAAAAAATAAAAAAAAAACAGAAAAGTGGAAAAAATAGGAAAAACAGAGAAATAGAAACGAATGTTAGAAAATCAGTAATAAAATGAATTCTGATGGGAAACCACGAAAACCACATAAATACACCTCCTCTATGTTAAAGGTGATTATTTTGCTGGCATGTCGGGTGTTGAAAGGAAACTGATACCGCAGTTTAGAGAGCAATTTGAAATAGTAAAAAAGAAATTAAAAAATGATAGCTATTTCATTGTGGATATTGAGGTTTGCAGAATAGTTAAAAGCCGCGCACACAAAAGGTTTGGCTGAACTGCATACAGAATGCAATTTCAATGAAAAAACAATAAACAAATAATGACTGGTCAAGTTTATTTATTTTTTTTTTTTTGCTTTGGTCAAGTTTTACAACGTTTATGATCAGTGATTTAAAAGAAAAAAAAAATATTTTTATTAGTCAATTTTAATAAACTACTGATTTTTTTTTTACTACCTATTTCTAAAAACTACATAACTCAAATTCATACAAAATTCAATTACTTTTTATGTTGAAATTATTTTTAAATAAAATTATTCAAAACTTGAATTATTTTTTAAAGAAAATAATAAATTGAATTGAATTAATAGAAATAAATTTATAAAAAATTTGTAAATAATTGAATTCATGTAAAATCTTTATTATTTATGAAAATAATTAAATGTTTGCGCAGAATTTTATTAATTCTCATTTTTTAAATAATTGAAATCTTTTGGAAAATTTTATTAAAATAGTAGATATTGAAAATCATTGAATTGAGGAAAATTTATGAAAATAATTAAAATTTTCTCAAGAATGTTATTAAACTATTTTTAATCGTTGAATACACGTGAAAATTTTATTATTTAAGAAAATAATTGAATTCTCGCCATGAATTTTATTAAAATTTTTTAAATAATTGAATTTCTGTGAAAAATTTTTTTTTTTTGTGAAAATAATTGAATTTCTACGAAGAATTTTTTTCAACAAATTCTTAAATAATTGATTTATTTGAAAAATTTTATGAAAATTGTATTTTAAATAATTGAACTTCTGTGAAAATTTTATCATTTATAAAAATAATTGAATTCTTTTGGAAATTTCAATTAAAATCGTAGATATTGAAAATAATTGAATAGATGAATTCCTTCGACGAATTTTAATAAAACTTTTAAGAATAATTACAATTTTCGAGGAATTCATTTACAAATTGTATTAAAATTAATTGAAATGCAAAAAAAAAATGTATTGAATAATAATTGAAATTTTATTATTTTTATGAAATTAATTCAATTCTTGTGACGCACTTTATTAAGAATTTTAAAAATAATTGAATTGCTGCAAAGAATTTTATTATTTATGAAAATAATTGAATTCTGGCTAAAAAATTTTATTATTTATGAAAATAATTGAATTCTGGCTAAAAAAATTTTATTATTTATGAAAATAATTGAATTCTAGCTAAAAAATTTTTTTTTAATTTTTTAAATAATTGAATTCTTGAAATTTTTATTATATTTATAAAAATAATTGAATTCTCGCTATGAATTATCCTAAGATTCTTTAAATAATTGAATTTTTGTGAAAGATATTATTTTTTGTGAAAATAATTGAATTCTTGCGAAGAATTGAATAACAAAAATTTGAATAATTGATTTTTTTCGAAAAGTTTTATGCAATATGTCTATTTAAAAGAATTTCATTCTTGCGAAAATATTTTTTAAATAATTGAATTCTATCGAACAATTTTAATGAAATTTTTAAGAATAATTGAATTTCGGCGAAGAATTTTTCTATTTAGAAAGATAATTGAAATCTTGAGGAAACTTTTTTTTCTAAATTTTGAAGATAATTGAATTTTTGCAAATAATTTTATTACTTTCGAAAATAATTGAATTCTTGTAAGAAATTTTGCTATTTATAAAGATAATTGAAATCTTGTCGATTATTTTTTAAAAATTTTTTAAATAATTGAATTTCGGAAAAAAATTCAAAATCGAAATCCCTCTATTAAAATAATATAGATTTTTTTTCGAAAAGTTTTCTGAAAATTGAATTTTAAATAATTGAACTCCTAGTAAAAATTTTATCATATTTAAGAAAGTAATTGAATTCTTAAGGGAAATTTGATTAAAATAGTACATATTAAAAATAATTTAACTTATAACTTGCAAAGGTAAAATTAAAAAGACAAATCTATTCGGAATAAATTTATTATTCACAAACGTCAGAGAATTAATTAATTAATCAATTAATTGATTTCATATATTTCTTATAAATTTTGAAAGCCGGATCATAAGCCAGCTCTTTTATTCGTAGTCCAAAGACGAAATCGTAATGATTCAGTTTTCTTTGCTGTACAAGTTGCCTTTTAAGTACGATCGGAAGTTTAGACGCCAGCAGCTCTACATCCTGAAATATTATTGTTTTTTTATCCATTTAGTTGGTAAAACAATAAAAAAACATTTAGTTTTCAAACAATTCAAATTTTTTCTAATAACAATAAATCTGTTGAAGTAGGAAAAAATTTTGTAATAACAACAAAAATTTTGTTAGTTCTATTCTATATTAACAATACTTTTTTCTCTGCGTTGTTTAGTCTACAATAGTCGAATATTAACATCGTTATTTTTGGATAAATTATAATTTAAGTAAAACTTACTTTAGGTGCTGCTAAATAATCATTCTTTCCATGGTATATTACCATAGGGATGTTGACATTTTCCAACGGATAGTCCGGAGGAGTGGTGGAATTATAAATTTTTTTGTTTTTCTTTTTGCCATAGTCGTACAATCTAAAGTGACCTTTGACAGAAGAAAAAGAATACTGTTCATAAAAGAAAGTAGAAAAATCATTTAATTGACAGTTTTACAGCATACACTTCTAATTAATTTTTAGTAATTTTTAAATTTTTTATCCAACCTTTATTCCAATTATTGAATCCGTAATGGATGATTTGCTTCCAAGAGGAACCCGCCGGCTCATATGCCAGGAATTTGTCAACTTGAGCCTATTTCAAAAAATTAGTGATTTTATTTTTATGATTTCAGTTTTCTTTGACGTTCAACTTTAATTTAATTCGATTCCATTTGTTTTGATTCAGTCAAATTTAATTTAGTTCGTTTAGATTGAGTCAAATTTAATTCAAGTTCGTTTAGATTCAGTAAAATTTAGTTCACTTGCAATTAGAATTAATTTTAATGATACTCCACAAAATTTTGCATTCTCTGTTTAAAATTATAAATTCTAATCTTTAATAAAATTTTGCAACTTACACGATCCACTTCGTCATATCCAAAGCCAACTGCGGTAAAAATTAAAAATAGACACAACCTCTGCCAAATGACATCTTTTGAACAAAAAGATTTGGTGAAGATTCTTAATCTTGGATTAGCAACTCCTATCGAAAAATAGCCCATTTTCTCTGCTTCGTACTGTACATTAAACAATTTTACGTCTTTTATAGAATAACACAACTCTCTAAACTTGAATTAGTAAAAATGTTTACTAATATTTTGAATTAATGACTATTATTTCTCATAATCTTAAGATTATAAGGAATAATAAATTAGACGAAGTATAATCATAATCTTAAGATTATGAGGAATAATAAATTAGAAGAAGTGTACTTGTACTTTAAGGCAGTACTGGCATTTTAAAAAAAAATTTTTTTTTTATCTTTTTGATCACAGAATATGTGACACAGAAATTTTATTATTACCATAGAAAGATAAGTGATTGGCGAGGCTAGTGTTAGAATTCCTCTGGTGTGCCCCATAAATACAGCCGGTGCAAAAAGTATGGCAAATTCTATTTTATCATTGTATTCGGGTTTCAATGATCCCATAACCATCAATTGCGTGCAACCCTGAGAGAATCCAACGTAAAGAAGCTTCTCAGCGCCGGTTTTATTTAAAACATAGTCTATCATTGCGGGCAAATCGTGCATTCCAAACTCGTGCCAGCTTTTTTTTCAGGGGAAAAATAAAAAATCACATTCACAAGAGTGTTAAAAAATGAATAAAGAAAGCGTGCGAAAAATATAGCTTTCAGTGCATTGATATTCATATTTTACGCAAATATAAAAACTGGTATTTTATTATTTAAACTTAGTATTTATTATTTAAACATAAAAACTACTCTCTTGAAATCTGAATTGAGTCCAGAAGGAGATGGCCATAGTTTTTTTTTAAAGAATCGTAAAAATTATTTAAAAAATAAAAAAAGATAAATAAAAATAAATAAATAAATAAAATAAATTCCTAATAAAAATTTTATTATTTGTGAAAATTATTTTTCTAATTTAAAATTTATGAATTTTGGCGAAAATTTTTCTTGAAATTTCTATTTTAAATAATTGAATTACTGAGAAATTTTTATTTATTAAATAATTGAATGTTTGGGTATAATTTTATCAAAAATTTTATTAAATAATAATTGAATTCTTTTTGGAAAATTTTATGAAAATAATTGATATTGAAAAATATTAAATTGAGAAAAATTTTTTTTAATAATATTGAATTTTTTCGAACAATTTTAAGAAAATTTTTAAGAATAATTCAATTTTGGCAAAAAAATTTTACTGTTTATAAAAATAATTGAAATCTTGTTGAGAATTTTTTTAAAATTTTGAAAATAATTAAATTCTTGTGATGAATATTATTATTATTTATGAAAAAATAATTGAATTTTGCAAAGAAAACAATTTCTTAAATAATTAAATTTTTGCGAACAATTTTTTAGAGAATTTTAAATTATAATACCATTTAGACGAAGCATTTTGCTATTTATAAAAATAATTGTAATCTTGTCGAGAATTTTTTAAAATTTTGTTATTTATGAAAAAAATTGAATTCATGCAAAGAATTTTTTCTAAATTTATTTAAATAATAGAATTCTTTTAAGAAATTTTTAAAAAATACAAATAGTAAATATTCTCATTGAAAATCATTGAATTGCAAAAATTTTCTAAAAATAATTAAAATTTTGCAAAGAATTTTATTAAAATGTTTTAAAATAATTGAATTTTGGTGGACAATTCTGCTATTTATAACGATAATTGTATTTTTGACGAGAATTTTCTTTTAAATTTTGAAAATAATTTAATTTCTGCAAAGAATTTTAGTACTTTTAAAAATAATTGAATTTTGCAAAGAATTCTATTAAAATTCATGAAAATAATTGAATTCTTGTGAAGAGTTTTCTTAAAATTTTTTAAATAATTGAATTCCTGTGAAAAATTTTGTTATTCGTGAAAATAATTGAATACTTGTGATGAATATTGTTATTTATGAAAATAATTGAATTTTGCAAAGAATTTTATTAAAAATTTCTGAAAATAATTGAATTTTGCAAAGAATTCTATTAATAATAGAAATAAATAAATTAATTATTAATTCTATTCTATTAAAATTCCTGAAAATAATTGAATTTCAGGCAAGAATTTTATTATTTATTCAAAATAATTGAAATATTTTCGAAGAATTTTTTTGGAAAATTTTTTAAATGATTTGAAAATTTTTATTAAATAATTGAGTTTTTTTTTGGAAAATTTTGTGTAAATAATAAATATTTAAAATCAATAAATTTCGATAATAGTTTTTAAATAATTTAATTTTATCGAAAAATTTCCATAAGAGTTTTAAGAATAATTGAATTTTCGGCAAAGAATTTTATTAAAATTCTTGAAAATAATTGAATTTTAGGGAAGAATTTTATTATTTATCAAGATATTAGAATAAATTTCGAAGTATTTTTTGGAAAATTTTTTAAATACTTTAAATACCAGTGGAACATTTTTTTCAATTGTGAAAATAATTGAATTCTTGCAAAGAATTTTCTTAAAATCTTTTAAATAATTGAATTCTGTAGACAAATTTTTATAAAATTTTTAAGGCAAATTGAATTTTTGGCAAAGAATTTTGATATTTATAAAGATAATTAAAATGTTAATGAAAATTTAAAAAAAAAATGTTGAAAATAATTGAATTTCTGGGAAGAATTTTATAACCTTCGAAAATAATTGAATTTCTTGTATAGAATATTTTTTTTTATAAACATAATTGAATTCTATCGAACAATTTTAATGAGACATTTTTAAGAAATCTTGAGGAAAATTTTTTTTTCTAAATTTTGAAAATAATTGAATTTAGGAAAAGAATTTTATTATTTATAAAAATAATTGAAATCTTGAAGGTAATTTTTTTTTAAATTTTGAAAATAATTGAATTTCTGCGAAGAATTTTATTACTTTTGAAAATAATTGAATTTCTGCAATCATTTATAACTTCTACAAATTTCAATTCTGTTCTTTTAATTTCAGAAGAATTTGAATTGTTATAATGTTCGAATGTTCCAATTCAGATTTAGAGAGTATTTCATTAATTCAAAAACTAATGATATTTTAATAATTATTATCCTAATGATATTAATCATTAATATTAATAATATTTTATCAACACAAAAAGCTAATAATTGATTAATCTTTCCAAACTATTACGAATATAACATCTATACCTAAAATCCCAGTAATCATAGCTTGTTTCTAATTTTGTTTTGTGTTTTTGACTGTAAGTGTTGCCTCTATTGTTTCCCAACCAAACGTCATAATTTTTATCAGCCAACGTCAATGCTTAAAAAGTAATAATATCAATAAGTAGAATTAAAATAATAATACATTGTAATGAACAATTAAAGAAATAAATTTTTTTTCTTCTTTGTTATTATCAATTTCTTTAAATGACTATTTGTAAATAGTAAATACTTAAAGAATAATTTTAGAATTAAAAACATACTATAATTTAAAAAAAGCTGCAATAATAACACGAAAAAAACATATTTCTGCTAATAATACATAATTTTCCATTGCTAAATTATATATGTATAATTTTTCCTCCTCGTATTCATATGAGTATGTCGATAAATTTCTATATTTGTTATCAGAATGAGTGACAATGTCATTTTAATATTGGTAATTATTGAAAACCCTGAAGATTGTTAATACTTTATTTATATGTTCTTCTTTAAGATAATTCGTTTTATTATTTAAAAAAAGAAAAATTATTTTTAGGATTCTATAGAATATACAATAATTTGAAATAATTCGAAAAATAGCAGTGAACAGTTTATAAATTCATTTATGACAATATTTTTTTTCAATAAAGTAAAAATAATATTGAATATTTTTAATTTTTTTTATTTTAATATTGAAATTTTTATTTATTGATGCACAAGTTATTTAAATATCCTTTATATTATAAAAAATAAAAGTTTAAACAGTATTTAAAATATTAAATAATTTTCTATATACCTATAATTTTTTATATAGCGCTAAACAATAATAACAGGCCTCGGAGTAAAAAAGTCGCTTTCGTCGATTAAAAATACAAAAAATACCGAAAGAGGCGTTTCAATTATTATAAAGAAATAATAATAAATAATAATAATAAATGATAAAAAAAATATTGAAAACAACTGAATTTATCAATTTAAGAAAATTTTAATAGAAAAATTCTAAGAATTTCCTTTTAAAAAATATTTTAATACAACTTTTTAAAGATAATTTTTCATTATACAATTTCTTGGAATTCAATTATTAGAAAAATTTTTAATTAAAATTCTTAAAAATTCACATTATTCTTTAAAAATTTTCAATTAAAATTCTTGAAAATTTGATTTTCAAAAATTTTAATTTAACATTTAATTTTAACATTTAGAAAAAATATATTTCCAATAAACTTTTACAAAACTTTAATTAAACTTGAGTTTAATTATAAATTCAATTTAACTTTTAAATGTATATATTTTTCAAAAATTCAGTTATCAGAATAAATTATTCAAAATTAAATTTTTTCAATACTTTAAAATTTTAAATATAGTTACTTCTTAAACTTCAGTTTTTTTTTTAATTGAATCTTTACAAACATGTAATTGATTTTTTTATAATTGAATTTCCATAAACAGTAATAGAAACAAATTCTAATAATTAATAAATAGTTATTTACAATTATTATTAATTTTATTCAAAATTCAAAAAATTTTGTTTTTATAACGTTTCACTTTTATATATATGTTACAAAGACAATTCGAATTCATTAAAGATAATTGAATATTTTAAGCGAGTAATTGAAATTGTCCATTGACGTTTGAATATTTTAAGCAAGTAATTGAAATTTTCTAAAGAGAATTGAATTTTTTAAGCATATAATTGAAAATATATTAAGATAATTGAAATTAACTAGAAATAATTAAATATTTTATGCTAGTAATTGAAATTATAAATAATTGAATATTTTAAGTAAGTAATTGAAATTTTCTAAAGAGAATTGAATTTTTTAAGCGAATAGTTAACTATTTGCTTTAAAGAATTCAATTATCTTTAGAAAATTTCAATTACTAGCATAAAATATTCAATTATTTGTAGTTAATAAAAATAGTTAACTATTCGCTTAAAAATATTCAATTATCTTTAGAAAATTTCAATTACATACATAAAATATTCAATTATTTATAATTTCAATTACTAGCATAACATATTCAATTATTTGTAGTTAATAAATAAAAAATTCAATTATCTTTAGAAAATTTCAATTACTTACTTGAAATATTTAATTATTTATAATTTCAATTACTAGCATAAAATATTCAATTATTTGTAGTTAATAAAAATAAAATTAACAATAGTTAACAATTCACTTGAAAAAATTCAATTATCTTTAGAAAATTTTAATTACTAAAATTTTTCAAAAGGACTGCATTTTTTAGACAAGTAATTGAAAAACTCTAAAGGTGCTTGAATATTTTCAGCAAGTAATTCGAAATTTTTAAAAAATACTTGAATTTTTTAAGCATATTATTTAAAATTTTTTGAAGATAATTAAATTTTTTTATTGATTAAAACTTTCTTTAACGTAATTATATTTTTTTTTAAGCAAATAATTCAAATTATCGACAGATAATTGAATATTTTAGGCAAGTAAATAAATTTATCTACTTATAATTATATTTTTTAAACAAGTAATTGAAAATTGAATTTTTTGTCCTGATAATTGAAATTTTCTACAAATTATTAAATATTTTTTATTGTTTCATCCTAGTTATATTGAAATTGTCATCAAATAATTGAATTCTTTTTAAGTAATTCAAATTTTTTACAAATTATTGAATTTTGTATGATAATAATTGAAATTTTCTTTAGATAATTGAATTTTTAAACGAGTAATTAAATTTTTTTTTTTTTGCTAGTATTTGAAATTGTCTTAAGATAATTGAATTTTAAAAACAATTAACATTTTCCAAGGATCATTTAATTTTTATAAACATAAATAATTGGAATTTCTTGAAATTGTTTTTTTATAATTACAATTGAATTGAATTTTTTTTATATGAACCAAAGAGAAAGTAAAAATTCTCTTTAAGAATTAATTTTAATTTTTTTTTTACTAAATAAATTAATATTCAAAAATTCGATAATTTTCTAAATTTTTACTTTTGAAAAATCGTCATAGTTTTCACGTTGTTTTCAGTTCAATACACACAATTTTTCTAAGGATATAAAATTGAGACAAAAAACTACAAAATTGTAATAGAAATATCAAAATAGTTTCAAAATTGATGCACTGCTTCAATTTTTATACGATTTTTGTCTCAATTTTGATATCTAGAAAAACTGATAATTTTTCATTTTTTTTTTTTTTTGTATTATTTTTTATCCGGATGCGTCTGATAAATTTTTATATAAAAACTTTTGATTTTTGTATAGAAAACTATTTTTCAGTAAAGAAATCTTTTTTCTGTCTAGAAGTTTCTTTTTTTAAGTATAGAATTAAAAAAATTTTCAGTAACTTGGATGTGAATTGTTTGCAATTTAAAAATTGCACAAACTTATAGAAAAATGTATAAGATTTGAATTTTAAAGTTATGTTCAAATATTAATAAAGAATTTATTAACTATGAAGAGAGTTGGAGAATAGAAATTGAAGAAAATTGTTACCTAACGATCTGTTTGGACCCGTTATTAACCATGAAGCCGATGAACCAATCAAGCCATGCATCATAAGTACAACTTGCTTCTTAGCCGTAGAATTTTGTGCTTCATTTCTGCCTCCTGATATTCGATGAAGTTCCAAAATGTAATCATCGTCAGTTGTTGTCTCATGAACTTCGAACGGATAGCCATAACCGGTAACGAGAGTTTTCTAAGAATAACATTCGCAAATTTTAATTAAGTACAGAAATTTAATTCATTACACCAAACACTGTATTTAGAAAAACTATTTTTAATACAGTTACAGTAAAAAATCTATGTAGAAATTCCTTTTTTTTTGCAGTAACTGCTAAACAATAAAATTATCGACTTCATTTGTTTAGGAACAACTTCAAATACAAGGCATCCGTAGATTTTACTGTACATTGTCATAAAATGTTTGTTTAGAATTGTTCAGAAATGTTTAGAACATTTCTGAAGAAACGAAAAGAATTTTTCCACGAAACCAAAAATAATACAACAATTTTCGAAGTTGTTGAGTTAAAAAAACAATTTTCAAAAATTAGCGTCGACGCTTATACAGAGACATTATTTAGAAAACGATTTATTGAAAATAGAAAATTCTTCTTTGTCATGAAATTCATTACTCACAAGATTGACATCTGTACTAGGACGTCTACCTTCTACGAATACAAGAAAGCATAAAAATATCTCAATATTAGGAATCAATTTCTTCATATTTAAAATTAATTCAAAACATTTTCTGATAAAATATATTCTTCCTGGGTAAAATTTAGTAAATTCTGCCTCCAACGACTTCTAATAAACGACTATACAACAATATAATTTTTTTTTTTTTGCAGATAATTAAAACAAACAATTTAAACTTATCTTTATAGTTTGACAAAGAAAACTGGTTATTTTATTTGTCAAGTGTATATTATATGCTAATGAAGAAAAATGATAATACTTATATAATCAAGATTTATTTAAACAAAAGAAATATACCTCCATTAAATTTATTAAAAACAAAATTTATGCTTATATAATAAGGACAATAATAAACTGATATAATAAATAATATAATTTAAGAACTATACAAATATAAATAATGAGTGGGAATTTTTTTATGGTTGAGTTTCGTTGATTCTTGTATCGTCCACATGATTTTTCAGCACATTCATAACGTCATTGTACAAGAGTCTTTTTGAATCATTAGAAAATAAAAAATCGAGATGACTGAACATCTCAAATGGCACTTGGCGAGATGTCGCGTTTGGTAATTTTGAACGCAACACCATTACGTCCTGAAAGCAAGTTTATTTTTTAATTATTATTTATTATTTTATTTATTATCAATACTGTTTAGTATTTGTTAATGATTACTACTAGTATTTTTTATTACTACTAGTGTTCAGTAATGATTACTATTAGTATTTAGTAATACTATTAATAATATTATTAGTAGTACTATTAGTATTTAGTAATACTATTAGTAGTACTATTAGTATTTAGTAATACTACCAGTAATACTATTAGTATTTAGTAGTACTATTAGTATTTAGTAATACTATTAATAATATTATTAGTAGTACTATCAGTATTTAGGAATACTACTAGTAATACTATTAATAATATTATTAGTAGTACTATTAGTATTTAGTAATACTATTAGTAGTACTATTAGTATTTAGTAATACTACTAGTAATACTATTAGTATTTAGTAGTACTATTAGTATTTAGTAATACTATTAATAATATTATTAGTAGTACTATCAGTATTTAGGAATACTACTAGTAATACTATTAATAATATTATTAGTAGTACTATTAGTATTTAGTAATACTATTAGGATTTAGTAATACTATTAGTAATAGTAGTTCTATTAGTATTTAGTAATTATTATTATTAGTATTCGGTAATGATTACTACTAGAGTTCAGTAATTATTACTATTAGTATATTTATCATATAGCATTTATATTCTCACCTCTCTAGTAGTGTAAGCATCATTTGGTCCATAATATAAAATGACTGGTGAAGTAATATTTTCAAGAGAATATTCCGGTGGTGTCATGTTTTTATAAAGAATTACATTCCTTTCAGGACCAAAATCATATTGACTAAACTTTCCTGCAAAGTTAAAATACATTTTTCACTGATTCAAAAATATATATAGTAAAAAAAACTAAATCAGGCAGAAAAAGAATAAGTTAAAAATAAATAGCAATTTTTGCGAGAAATAATTGAATTTTGAAAAGTTTTTAAATTCAAATCATTGAAAATATAAATTTTTCATACTTTTTAATGAACAATTCTGTAAAAATAAATTTTTTGAAAAATTTTAATTCAAATTCTGTTGAATTTAATTTAATTTTTTTAATATTATATTTTAATATTATTTTCAAAAATTTTAAAGCAATTCTTCGAAAGAATTCAAATATCTTGATAAATAATAAAATTCTTCCCCAAGAATCAATTATTTTCAGGAAGTTTTTGAAAAATTCAATTATTGCAAAATTCAATTATTTTCCTAAATAACAATATTCATCACGAGAATTCAATTATTTTCAAAAGTAATAAAATTCTTTCCAGAAATTCAATTATTTTCAATAGTAATAAAATTCTTTCCAGAAATTCAATTATTTTCAGAAATTTTTAATAAAATTCTTTGCAAAATTCAAATATTTTCATAAATAACAATATTCATCACAGGAATTCAATTATTTTCAACAGTAATAAAATTCTTTCCAGAAATTCAATTATTTTCAATAGTAATAAAATTCTTTCCAGAAATTCAATTATTTTCAGAAATTTTTAATAAAATTCTTTGCAAAATTCAATTATTTTCATAAATAACAATATTCATCACAAGAATTCAATTATCTTCAGAAGTAATAAAATACTTCACAGAAATTCAATTATTTTCAGGAATTTTAATAAAATTCTTTGCAAAATTCAATTATTTTCATAAATAATAGTATTCATCACAAGAATTCAATTATTTTCAATAGTAATAAAATTCTTTCAAGAAATTCAATTATTTTAAATAGTAATAAAATTCTTTCCAGAAATTCAATTATTTTCAGGAATTTTTACTAAAATTCTTTGCAAAATTCAATTATTTTCATAAATAACAATATTCATTACAAGAATTAAATTATTTTCATAAATAAAAATATTTAGATCAATAAAATTCAATTATTTTCATGAATAACGATATTCTTCAATAGAATTCAATTATTTTCATAAATAATAAAATTTTCACAGAAATTGAATTTTTTTAAATACAACTTTTATTATAAAACTTAAAAAAAATCAATTATTCCAACAATTTTTTTTAAATTTATTGACAAAAATTAAATTACTTTCTCAATATAAAAAAATTTTTCAAGGGAATTCAATTATTTAAAAAAATGTTACTTAAAATTCTTTGCTAGAAATCTATTATTTTCATAAATAATAAAATTGTTCTTAGGAATTCAATTATTTTCAAATAAATTATTAAATTAAATTAAATTTTATTATAATTTTATAATTTTATATTAAATTATTAATTTAATTTTAATATGAAATTTTCATAAATTTTGGAATAGAATTGAATTATTTTTTTCAAAATTTTAGTTCGATAGCATTCAATTATTTTCAATTTTCAAAAGTTTTTTTTTTATTAAAATTCTTTTTGTAAAAATTCAATTATTTTCATAATTCATAACCTCCTTCACAAGAATTCAATTATTTTTTCAAATAATCAAATTTTTTTACAGGGATTCAATAATTTAATAAGAAATTTTGTAACAAATTTCTCCGCATAAATTTAATTATTTTCAAAAGTAATAAAATTCTTTTCAGAAATTCAATTACTTTGAAAAATTATTGAAATAATTGAATTCTTGTAGATCTTTCTTATGAGAATTTTTTTAAAAATAAATTTCAGTTATTGTTAAAAGTCGTCAAATTTATTTTTTCGAAAGCTACTTTTTTTCAGTTTTAAAACTACTTTTTTTCTTCCTTTTTGAAAGTTAATTATCGACTGCAAAGCGTAGTAAAGTATAAAGAAGCGAACAAACTTAAATATAGTTTAAAAATGTTTCTAAATTTATATCAATGAGAGAGAAAATTTGTTGTTTACCTACCACTTATAATAATTTGTCTATAATGAAGAACAGTTTCAATTGAAGTTCCTTGAGGGAAGTGTTTTAACATCGTTGGGATCATATTCTGTTTTGAAAGTCAAATTTTTCTAATTAGTGCCGGCCAGTCATTATGAAATTTAGCGATTTTCATTTTAAATGAAAAAGAAATTTAAAAAAATAAATAAATAAATAAACGAAAACAAAATAAATAAAAAAAAAAGTAAATCATTTCTAAATTTGTCAATTTTTAATTAGATAGAAAATAAAAAATTAGAAATAGAATGAATAGAAAGAATAGAAATAAGAAGCTTATGATAAAAGATTACGTACTGTATCGAAATTGTCAGCATTCGTGAGACCAATCAGATTGAAAAATAATTTTCGGCAAAAATATTCAATTCTCGGTCCTTCGCACAATGAGGAATAAACACCCACGGCGCTCGAACTTCTGGGGAATATTTCATGCATTCCCAGCAATTGAAATGTTTTCTAAAAAGAAAATTAAATATGCACTTAATATCAAATCTTTTCAAAAACCTGTTTTCGAAACTTGATTTTCGGACAAAAGTTCAAATCCAAAAGTTAATTATATTATTTAAATGAATTATATTTAATAATATTATTTACACACAAATTATATTTTTGCTCGCATTCTTGCCGTTGAGAAGAATTGTTCTCAAAAATTTTCCTCATTTAATTTCGTTTAATTTGCAATTTAGACGAATTATAGAACCTCAAGTGGATCAGCTGTTTCATTTGGCCGCCGCCATTTTGTTTCTCGTAATTCTTAGAAGTGAGGGTCACTTCTAAGAATTATAAGAAATAAAATGGCGGCGGCCAAACAGAACAGCTGATCCACTTGAAATTTTACAAATCGTCTAAATTCTAAATTAAACGGAAGTTTCAATTAAAAAAAAAAATGTTGGACCCTTTGGTATTTCGAAATAAGAATTATTGCACCTTTTGGTTTTTAGAACAAAGAATTATTGAAACTTTCGTCCTCTAATCCGAAACTTAATTACAACTAAGGTCGAAAAAAATTCTTTCGTTCAAAAAAACCCAAAACCAAAATTAAACAAAAGTTTCTCAAAGTATTTGATTTCTTTGAGAATATCTTAGCGTCGACGCTTAACTCTCTCAGTGTCGTTTTTTTTTTCACTAAACCGAAATATTTTCTTCTCCAAAAAACGAAAAATGATAATTTTTCAATTTTTCGTTTTTTGGAGAAGAAAATATTTCGGTTTAGTGAAAAAAAAAAAAAAATTATCGACGCCAACTTCAGGGACATGAAAGTGAAACTTGTAAATTATCATCAGCTTTATTTTGAAAAAATGCAGAAAATTTTGAAAGCCACATATTTAAGGCTGTATTTAAGGCAACATTTAATGCCACACGTGTGTTACTGAAATATTTGCAAAACGTGTTTGTGTTTCTAGTACGAGAAAAAAAAATATGTGTCGTACGTTATATTTTTTTTCATTATATAGAGACAGACATTTTTTTTTCTAATTATTAATAATAATCACCTGCAACTGTTTTCCATAGCGAATTCCAAGAGTACTAACCAGTCCCGGGAGCACATGGGTGAAAATTGCAACAGGTGCAAATGACAGAACGACATTCACTTTTTCATTATAAGCAGGCTTCATTGAAAGTAGAACTAATTCGATGGTGGTCCCCATGGAATGGCCAAGGAGTGACACCTTTTCCAAACCAGTGGTTTTCAGTATATAGTCAATTGTTGCAGCAGCGTCATGCACTCCGGACTCGTGCCAACTGGAAAAAGAAAAATTTTTTTATTTTATATCTCATCTGTATCATTAAAATTGCAATAGGCCACAAATATTATTATAATTTATTATCTCAAAGAGAGAATTTTACCTAAAACGCCAAAATTTCGATTCTTTGGGTGACAGCCGTTTGTGGCGTTTGCCATAAAAATTACCCCTCGTGTTTAAAAGCCATACGTCGTAGCCTTCGTCACACAATAAATATGCTGCAAATGAGAATTTTTTATTATTTTCATTTTTTAAGAAAAAATAGAATCAACAAGAATTTTTATTATTTTAAATAATTATTATTATTTTCTATTTTATTATTTTATTATTACTTTTAATTATCGTCGTTCTGTCATTCACCTATTCTGTCCATACCTGAAATTAGTCATTGTCGAGTTTTTTTTCTTTCAATTTTCGACAGTTGAAATTTAATTAATTTTAATAATTTTCTTCCAATTTTTTAAAAATTTTCCCTTCAAAGACAAGATTGTTTTTGAAAATGGTAAATAATTATACTTTGAAATATAAAATTTATTTCACTCTTAATTTGAATTAGTGAAAATATTGACTATAATTTGAATTAGTGACTGAATTTTTGCTTTTGTAGAAATGTTTGTAGTAAATTTTACAAATAAAAACAGTAATTTCTGCAAAGTTTGCAGAAATTGCAATTTTTAAAAGATTTTTATGTTTCAATTTATTCATTTTTTATTGATTCATTATTTTAATTTATCAATTTGTTTATTATTTTTATTATAATCGAATTTTTTATTATTCATTCAATTAAAATTTTGAAAATATTTATTTGAAAAAGTTTCGAATAATTGAAATTTATAGTAAAATTCAATTATAAACAAATGAATTTTGTAATTAGTGACGGGAATATTTCTTTTTTGTTTAAATAATTGAATTCGCAAAAAAAAATTTCTCAAAAAATTATTAAAAATATTTTATTTTAGAGAAGAGTGTTAGTTCTAGAATTAATTAAAATTCTAAATTCAATTATTCAACAAAGTTAAAGAAAATTCTCCTCAAGTGTTCAATTATTTTCATAAATAATAAAATTCTTTTCAGGAATTCAATTATTAAAAAATGAAAATTCAATTTTTAATAAAAATTATCTTCTCTAACAGTCAATTATTTTCATAAATAATAAAAAAATTGAAAGTAATCCAACTATTTAAAATAGAATTTGCATAAAAATTTTCAATGAAAATTAATTATTTTAAAAATTTTTATAAAAAGCTTAGTTAGAATTCAATTATTTTCAAAAAATAAAAAATTTAAAAAAATTTAAAAAAATAATAATAATAATAATAATAATAATAATAATATTTAATTTATTAAAATTATTTCAAAATAAATATATTCATCACAAGAATTCAATTATTTTCCCAAATATTAAAATTCCACTCAAGAATTCAATTACTTTTATAAACATTAAATTTTTCTGAATAATTCAATTATGAATATAGAAAAATTTAATTTTTGTATAACAATTTGTAATTTTGCTGAAATCTTTTAAAAATAATTGAATTTTGATCAAATATTTCCAAAATAATTAAATTTTCATAGAATCTTTCAAAAATAATTGAATTTTAAAATAAAATTATTTAAAAATAATTGAATTTTGATCAAATATTTCCAAAATAATTAAATTTTTATAGAATCTTTCAAAAATAATTGAATGTCGTAAAATCTTTCAATAATAATTGAATAAAAATTCAATTATAAAAAATTTATTTAATTTATTTTTTTATTTATTTTATTTATTAATTTATTTAATTTTTTTTTTTTTTTTTTTTATAAAAAATTTTTAAAAATCATTGAATTTTGATAAAATATTTCCAAAATAATTTAATTTTGATAAAAATTTTTTAAAATAATTGAATTTTAAAATAAAATTATTTAAAAATTATTGAATTTTGATCAAATATTTCCAAAATAATTAAATTTTCATAGAATCTTTCAAAAATAACTGAATTTAGTAAAATCTTTCAATAATAATTGAATTTTGATAAAATTTTTTTAAAATAATTGAATTTTGATCAAATATTTCCTAAATAATTGAATTTTGATAAAATTTTTAAAAAATACTTTAATTTTTATAACATTTTTCAAAAATAATTGAATTTAGTAAAATCTTTCAAAAATAATTGAATTTTAAAATAAAATTTTTTAAAAATAATTGAATTATGATCAAATATTTCCAAAATAATTGAATTTTGATAAAATTTTGAAAAAATAATTTAATTTTTATAAAATTTTTCAAAAATAATTGAATTTAGTAAAATCTTTCAAAAATAATTGAATTTTAAAATAAAATTTTTTAAATATATTTGAATTATGATCAAATATTTTCAAAATAAATGAATTTTTATAGAATCTTTCAAAAATAATTCAATATAGTAAAATCTTTCAATAATAATTGAATTTTTATAAAAATTTTTTCAAATAATTGAATTTTGTTCAAATATTTCCAAAATAATTGAATTTTGATAAAAAATTTTTAAAATAATTGAATTTAAAAATAAAATTATTTAAAAATTATTGAATTTTGATCAAATATTTCCCAAATAATTGAATTTTTATAAAATCTTTCAAAAATAAATAAATTCAGTAAAATCTTTTAAAAATAATTGAATTTTGATCAAATCTTTCAAAAATAATTGAATTTTGATAAAATTTTTTTAAAATAATTGAATTTTGATAATTTATTTCCAAAATAATTGAATTTTGATCAAATCTTTCAAAAGGAATTTGAATTTTGATCAAATATTTCCAAAATAATTAAATTTTTATAAAATTTTTCAAAAATAATTGAATTTAGTAAAATCTTTCAAAAATAATTGAATTTTAAAATAAAATTTTTTAAATATATTTGAATTATGATCAAATATTTTCAAAATAAATGAATTTTTATAGAATCTTTCAAAAATAATTGAATATAGTAAAATCTTTCAATAATAATTGAATTTTTATAAAAAATTTTTCAAATAATTGAATTTTGTTCAAATATTTCCAAAATAATTGAATTTTGATAAAAAAATTTTAAAATAATTGAATTTAAAAATAAAATTATTTAAAAATTATTGAATTTTGATCAAATATTTCCCAAATAATTGAATTTTTATAAAATCTTTCAAAAATAAATAAATTCAGTAAAATCTTTTAAAAATAATTGAATTTTGATCAAATCTTTCAAAAATAATTGAATTTTGATAAAATTTTTTTAAAATAATTGAATTTTGATAATTTATTTCCAAAATAATTGAATTTTGATCAAATCTTTCAAAAGGAATTTGAATTTTGATCAAATATTTCCAAAATAATTAAATTTCCATAGAATCTTTTAAAAATAACTGAATTTAGTAAAATCTTTCAATAATAATTGAATTTTGATAAAATTTTTTTAAAATAATTGAATTTTAATCAAATATTTCCAAAATAATTGAATTTTTATAGAATCTTTTAAAAATAATTGAATTTAGTAAAATCTTTCAATAATAATTGAATTTTTATAAAAATTTTTTCAAATAATTGAATTTTGTTCAAATATTTCCAAAATAATTGAATTTTGATAAAAAATTTTTAAAATAATTGAATTTAAAAATAAAATTATTTAAAAATTATTGAATTTTGATCAAATATTTCCCAAATAATTGAATTTTCATAAAATCTTTCAAAAATAAATAAATTCAGTAAAATCTTTTAAAAATAATTGAATTTTGATCAAATCTTTCAAAAATAATTGAATTTTGATAAAATTTTTTTAAAATAATTGAATTTTGATAATTTATTTCCAAAATAATTGAATTTTGATCAAATCTTTCAAAAGGAGTTTGAATTTTGATCAAATATTTCCAAAATAATTGAATTTTGATAAAATTTTTTAAAAATAATTGAATTTTTAAAAAATACAAAGGAATTCAGATTTTTGAAGAATTTTAATTACAAATATAAATGATTTCTTTGGAATTTTAATAATTCTAAAAATACAATTTATTTAAGTAATTGAGTTTCAAATGGTTTTAAAATTGAAAATTTTAAAAATAAAGATTTTAAATTGTAAATAAAACTTGTATAGTATCATAATAATTTTAATAATATTATTGTACATTATAATAATAAATAATATAATGAAAGTACCCAAATCTTTTCCAGGTCCTCTCAGAATCCAGATATCAGAAGCGGCAAACAGTCCATGAATAAGAAGCACTACCGGTTTTCCCGGTGTGACTGGTGACTTTGGACCTCCAGATATTCGGTGAGTTGACAAAATATATCCATCGTCAGTGGTGACGTCATGCTCCTCTGCCGTGTAACCGGACGATTGAACCATGTCCACCTAAAAAACTTAGATTCCTCTTAATAAACTTGTCCTTGCAACGAGAAAAATTACACTACTTGAGAAATGACACTCTTCAAAAAAAAAAAAAAAAAAAAGAAAAAGAAAAATATAGAGAGAAAGAAAACACCGCGAGTCTCAGACAGAACGAAAGAAAACACTCGGATTAAATGTCAGTACAGAGGGAAAAAAAAGTTAATTGAAAATTTATACGAGAAAATTTTATTACTATTATCATGCAAAATATTTTTATACTTATTAAATTTTATTTTAATAATACATATTTTTAATACTCAATTTTTTTTTTTGCTTTACGTTTAAACACTTTTTTTTTCTTTTCTGTTGTATTTTGAAAAATAATTTTCTCTACTGCTTATTATAATATTGAATATATATTTGCGGCGAGTGGTAATATTTTTAAATGATTTTTTTGTTATTTTTTTTTATTGACTAAATGTCAAGTAGTGGAGAAAATTTTATAAAAAAATTTTATAAAAATATTACAAAGTTCAACTTATTGCAAACAGAATAATAAATATTAAGGGGAAAAAAAAAATTCTCGACGCATATTTAATGACTTTTTTAATTCCGTTTTTCTTGACAAATTTCTTTGTCAAGTTTTTTACTTTTTTACTGGTGTTACTTTTTTTATACTGTTTCTCTTAATTAAAAAAAAAACAAACAAAAATTATTAAGAAATTTTCGAGTTAGAAAAGAATTTTAATTGAAAATTCCAAGAATAATTGAATTTGACGTGAATTCCATTTAAAATTTTTATAAATAATCGAATTTCCAAAGGTTTCAATTTCAAAATTTGGAATTTTAATAAAATTTCTTGCAAAATTCAATTATTTTCATAAACAACAATATTTATAACAAGAATATTCAATTATTATCAAAAACTAATAAAATTCTTCGTCGAAATTCAATTATTCAAGAAAATTTTAATAAAATTCCCCTCAAGGATTCAATTATTTTCATAATTAATACCTAAAACTCTTCTTAGGAATTCAATTACTAAAATCCAAAAATTCAATTTTTTATAATAATTTTCTTCTTAAAAATTCAATAATTTTTATAAATAATAAAAAAAAATTCAAAGGAATTAAATTATTTAAAATAGAATTTGCATAAACTTTTTCGACGCAAATCAATTATTTTCAACATTTCAATAAAAAGGTTCGTCAAAATTTAATTATTTTCAAAAACAAATATTCATCACAAAAATTCAATTATTTTCAAACGTAATAAAATTCTTTGCAAAAATTCAATTATTTTCAGGAATTTTAATAAAATTTCTTGCAAGATTCAATTATTTTCATAAACAACAATATTTATCACAAGAATTCAATTATTTTCAAAACCAATTAAAGTCTTCGTCGAAATTCAATTATTCAAGAGAAGTTTAATAAAATTGTCCTCAAGAATTCAATTAATTATATACAAATAGTTTTTTAACTACATGCAATTTAAAAATTTCCAAATAATTGGAATTTAGTAAAAATTTTCAAAAATAATTGAATTTTGATAACATTTTTTTAAAATAATTTAATTTTCATAAAATCTTTGAAAAATAATTGAATTTCGATCAAATTTATTTTAAAAAATCATTAAATTTTGATCAAGTATTTCCAAAATAATTGACTTTTTATAAAATCTTTCCAAAATAATTGACTTTTTATAAAATCTTTCAAAAATAATTGAAATTTGATAAAATTTTTTAAAAATAATTGAATTTTGATCAAATCTTTCAAAACTAATTGAATTTTCATAAAATCTTTAAAAAAATAATTAAATGCAGTAAAATCTTTCAAGAATAATTAAATTATGATCATTACTTCCAATATAATTAAATCTTCATAAAAGCTTTCAAATAGAATTGAATTTTGATAAAATTTATTTTAAAAAATCATTGAATTTTCACAAAATCAAAAAAAAAATAATTGAATATTCATAAAATCTTTAAAAAGTAATTTAGTTTTGATAAAATCTTTAAAAAATAATTGAATGTTAATAAAGTTTTGTTTAAAAGAATTGAATTTTCATAAAATTTTTAAAAAATAATTGAATTTGTGATAAAATTTTTTTAATATAATTAAATTTTTATAAAATCTTTGAAAAATTATTGAATTTTCACAAAATCTTTATGAAAATAATTGAATTTTAATAAAATATTTGAAAAATAATTGAATTTTGATAAAATCTTTCAAAAATCATTGAATTTTCACAACATCTTTTAACAAATAATTGAATTTTGATAAAATCTTTCAAAAATAATTGAATTTTATTTATGATGTTTCGGTTGTTTGGATTTTGTTTGAATAATTGAATTTTAATAAAATTTATTTAAAAAATCCTTAAATTTTCACAAAATCTTAAAAAAAAATAATTGAATATTCATAAAATCTTTAAAAAATATCATTAAATTTTCACAAAATCTTTAAAAAATAATTGAATTTTGATAAAATTTTTGAAAATAATTGAATTTTGATAAAATGTTTTAAAAATAATTGAATTTTGATAAAAAAAATTTAAAATTAATTGCATTAGTGTTAAAACTTTTTTAAAATAATTGAATTTCCATAAAATCTTTAAAAAATAATTGAATTTTGATTAAAATCTTTTAAAAATAATTGAATTTCTATAAAATCTTCAAAAAATAATTGAATTTTGACTAAACTCTTTTAAAAACAATTGAATTTTGATTAAAATCTTTTAAAAATAATTGAATTTCCATAAAATCTTTAAAAAATAATTGAATTTTGACTAAACTCTTTTAAAAATAATTGAATTTTCATAAAATATTTTAAAAATAATTGAATTTTGATAAAGTCTTTTAAAAATAATTGAATATTCATAAAATCTTTAAAATATCATTGAATTTTTACATAATCTTTAGAAAATAATTGAATTTTGATAAAATCTTTAAAAATTATTTAATTTTGATAAAATGTTTTTAAAATAATTGAATTTTGATAAAAAAATTTTTAATTAATTGAATTTGTGATAAAATTTTTTAAAATTAATTGAATTTGTGATAAAATTTTGTTGTGATAAAATAATTAAATTTCTATAAAATCTTTAAAAAATAATTGAATTTTGATTAAAATCTTTTAAAAATAATTGAATTTTTTGCAAATTCCAAAAAAATCAGATTTTTGAAGAGTTTTAATATTTAATTACAGATACAAATGAATTTTCTAAAAGTTTATTAAATTCTAAAAATGCAACTTATTTAAATAATCGAATTTCAAATGGTTTCAAATTGAAATTTTAGAAAAATAAAGATTTTAAATAATTTTCATAATTAAAAGCACAAGAGAACTTGTGTTAGACTAGAAAAAATTTCTCTAATATAAAGAAATTTGATGTTTCGGATGATGATTTTTTTATCACATTTTTCTGCAGATATCAAATTGAGACAAAAAAAAAAAGTATCAAAATTGTTGCCTCGCAACAATTTTGATACTTTTTTTTTGTCTCAATTTGATATCTGCAGAAAAACTGTGGTAACAACCATAATGTAGATAAATTAATAAATATAATTCTAATAATGAATTAAAAATTAATAAAAAAACACTCACAAACATTTGGAGTTGACTTCCGGTATTCTCTCCATTTGATGAAAGTATTTGTTGATTTTGTTGTTCGTCATCGTGAATACGAAATGTGGTGGCAGTGAAGGCAGTGCGAGATAAATGGCCAATAAAGAGGAATAATGTAAAGAAGGCAAATCCTCGATGTGCGGACAGTTTCCGCATGTCGAAATGGGAAAGGCACTCGCGAAAATTTCGTTATCAGAATTGTGATAGCGAAGAAAAGCGCGAGTGCGCGTCTCACCGTTTGACAGCAAACATACTAATGACAATATTCCTCCTTGAGAATCCTTTTAGTTTTTGTGGACGCATATGTACGCATAAATGAGGGGGGAAAAAGGGGTCTTCTCACCAAGTCACACGGCGACCTTGCCGAAAATCCCCCTTTAAAACACCAAACACCCTACTCCTTTTATTTAACTCTCTCCTTAACCCTCTATCCTTGTCCCTCTCACTTTCTGCTAACTGCGCGATTTTCATCGAGCCCGAGCCTCACGAGAACCTGCAAAGAATTTTAAAAAACAAAAATTATTATTTTTTTTTTGTTAAAAACTAGCTTTGCGGCTTTGACCCACGAATTCTAATAAAAAGAACCTTCAAATTTTTCTATTTCTCACAAATAATTGAAATTTTTAGAAATAATTGAATTTTCAAGTACAATTTTTTCATTAATAAACAATATCACAAGAATTCAATTATTTTCGAAATTAATAAAATTTTTCATAAAAATTCAATTATTTTCGAAACTAATAAAATTTATCACAAAAATTCAATTATTTTCGAAAATTTTTTAAAAAATCTCGTCAAAATTCCAACTATCTTTTAAAATAGCCAAAATTCAATTATTTTCAAAAATAATAAAAATTTCAGGGAATTTAATTATTTAAAATAGAATTTGCCTTAAATTTTTCGGAAAAAAATAATTATTTAAAAATTTTTTTTGAAATTCTTCCCAAAAATTCAATTATTCTCGAAAGTAATAAAATTTATCATTGAAATTCAATTATTGTCGAAAATTAAAAAAAAAAATCTCCTCAAAATTTCAATTATCTTTTAAAATAGCCAGAATTCAATTATTTTCATAAATAATAAAAATTTCAGGGAATTCAATTATTCAAAATAGAATTTGCATTGAATTTTTCGGAAAAAAAACAATTATTTAAAAAAATTTTTATCAAATTCTTCCCAAAAATTCAATTATTCTCATGAATTTTAATAGATTTCTTTGCAAAATTCAATTATTTTCATAAATAAAATTCTTTACAGAAATTTAATTATTTTCATAAATAATAAAAATTTCAGGGATTTCAATTATTTAAAATAGAATTTGCATTAAATTTTTCGAAAAAAAAACAATTACTTAAAATTTTTTTTAAATTCATCCTCAAAATTCAATTATTTTCGAAAGTAGAAAAATTTATCACAGAAATTCAATTATTTTCGACAATTTTCAAAAAATTTCAATTATCTTTATGAATAGCAACAATTCAATTATTTTCAACAACAATATTTCTTACAGAAATTCAATTATTTTCGAAAAAGTACTTAAATTCTTCTGAGTAATTTAATTATTTTTAATATTTAAAAAAAAATTTTTCGTTAAGATTTCAATTATTTTTATAAATAGCAAAATTCTTTACCGAAATTCAATTATATACTTAAAAATTTCATTAAAATTATTCGTAAGAATTCAATTGTTTAAGATAGAACTTTTAAGAAAAATGTTTCCAAGAATTCAACTATTACTTTCAAAACTATTAAAATTCTTCTCAAGAATTCAATTATTTTCACAAATAAACAAATTTTTCATTTCAATTCAATTATTTTGAAAATGTCAACAAAATTGTTCACGAAAATTCAATTATTTTCATAAAAATAATAAAATTCTTTACATGAATTCAATTATGTTTAGAAATATAGAATTTAAACAAAATTTTCGATAGAATTCAATTATTTTGATAACAATTTTAGTAAAAATTCTTCAAAAATTAAGTTATTTTCAAAGATTTTAATAAAATTCTTTATAAGAATTGTTTTATTTCAATTAAATTTTAATTAAATATCTCGAGAAAATTCAATTATTTTCAAAAATTTAAATAAAATTCTTAGAAACGATTCAATTTTTTTTTGAATTTTTAATGATTTTCAAAAAAAAGTTATGGCATGAATTCAATTATTTTTTTCAATTATTTAAAAAAAATTCTTGTCAAGAATTCAATTCTTTTAGAAATAGCAAAATTCTTCTCGAAAATTCAATTATATTTTCAAAAATATTAATACAATTCTCTTCAAAATTCCAATTATTATTTGCAAAATATTTTCTCATTTCAATTATTTTCAATATCTACTATTTTCATAAAAGTTCGCAAAAGAATTCAATTATTTTAAAAAGATAATAAATAAATTCTACTGAAAAATTCAATTACTTTTACAAATAAAAAAATTTTTCACTGGAATTCAATTATTTAAAAAACTTTAATAAAATTCTTCTCAAGGATTCAATTATTTTCATAAAATAATGAAATTGATCGCAGAATTTCAATTATTTTTAAATTTTAATACAATTTTAATCGAATTTCTCGAAAAAAGCAATTATTCATAGAAGTTTTATTAAAATTCATCGAAGGAATTCAATTTTAAGTAAAATTCAATTATTCAATAAATTATTTATTTTTGCATTTTAATAATTAAATTTTCGCTGAATTTTCTATTAAGAATTGATCTAAAAATCAATTTCAGTTAAAATTTTGAATAATTGAATATTAAAAGCATTATGTATAGCTTGAATTTTCAGAAATAATTGATTTTTGAAAATGTTTCAAATTAAAATCTTTGAAAATTTATAATTTTTCATAATTTTAACGAACAATTTTCAAAGAACTTTTTCAAAAATTATTAAAAATAATTTTATTTAAAGAAGGATTTTAGTTAAAAAATCTTAGAAAATAAGAATTGAATTGAAATGATGAAACTAATTTTGAAAAAGGTACAGTAACAATATTCTTATAATATAAAATAATAATTTCATCACTCGGTCATTTTAATTGTCTATTAATTTTTAGACTGAATCCAAATATTCTTTGGGGTAAAAAAGAAGTCAAAATTTTTTCTGGAAATCAGAAAAGTCATGAAAGAACAAAATTAAATTTTTGTGTCCATCCTAATTACTAAATTAATTTAGAGACAGACCGCTTATTATCAACTAAGTTATTTTATTCTTTATTATTGTTTTTTTTTATTTATTTATTTGATAATAATTTGTTTTAGGCATTATTATTAATATTTTATATTCTTAATCGCATCGCATAATATGGTAAAAAAATAAAGCAAAAATTCATAATATTAGACACATCTAAAAGTTCCCTTTCATTTTTCGTTTTCACTAGATGTATTCACTTATTAGTTATTATTGAACGTATCGCATTTATCGTCTTTCTTCTTTCTTTTTTTTTCTTTTTTTAGAAAAAAGAAACATAGTCCTACTTTTGTTAATTGTAAGAAATCTATATGAGCGAGTAAAAAATGTATCCGTGAATGGTTTCGTTTTTTAATGAAAGGAGGGAAAACAGAATTAGAATATTTTTTTTATGAGAAAGCTTTATTATATATGCCTGGAATTCGTGTCAAATGATGGCAAACCGGGTTAATAGGGAGTTCTCGAGAGATTAAATCATCCTTCTTCTTCTTCATCTTCTTCTTTTTTTTTTTTTTTTTATTTAAATTTGTAATCAAGAAATTTTTGAATTTCAAAATATATATATGTATATATAGACATTTTAGAATTATGTGTCGTCGTCGAGAACGAACTCGATTTTTCCAACTAAGAAATTCATCCGGGAATTACGATATTTATAAATACATATATTCATATATTTTATATATTGACACAATTTTATTATTTTTTTTTTTGAATTCTTCTCAAGAATTCAGTTATTTTCAATATTATTATTATATTTTCAATATTTTATTCGGAATTGTATTTTTGAAGAATTTGAAATTAAAATTTAAAAAATAATTGAATTTTGCAAAAATTTAGCATTGAAGGTAGAAAAAAGGTAAATATTTTTCAATGAAAATTAGAAAAAACAGTAAATAGTAAACATTTTTACTAATTAAAATTTATAAAATAAGAGATACAAAATTTTTAAGTAATTATAATTATAATTATAATTTTAATTATAATTATAATTATAATTATTTAATTATTATAATTATAATTATTTAATTATTATAATTATAATAAAAATAATAAAAATCAAGTCTTTAATGAAAACCTAAAATTCTAAATGTCCCTAACTTGAGTTAATATTTAATTATTTATTTACAATATCAATGCGGTTTTTTTTAAATTATTTAAAAATTCTTCGCACAAAGTCAATTATTTTCCACAATAATAAAAATTTCAAAGGAATTCAATTATTTAAAATAGAATTTGCATCAAATTTTTCGACGAAAATTAATTATTTTAAAAATTTTAATAAAATTCTGCGTCAGAATTCAATTATTTTTCAGGAATTTAGAAAAAATCCTTTGCAAATTAAATTATTTTCAAAAACAACTATATTTATCACGAGAATTCAATTATTAACATACAAAAAAATTTAATTTTTATAATAATATTGTAACTGTCTATGTTATTTTTTAAAGTTATATTTTCAAAATGTTATAATAAAGAAATTTTTTAAATTAATTTCTTAAATATATTTTTCAATAATTTTTTAAAGATAATAGTTTTTCAATTATATATAATTGAAAAATTTCTAAGTAATTGAAATTTGGTGAAATCTTTTAAAAATAATTGAATTTTGAAAAAATATTTGTCAAATATAATTAAATTTTGATAAAATCTGTTAAATATAATTGAATTTTGATCAAATCTTTCAAAAATAATTGAATTTTGATAAATATTTTTTAAAAATAATTGAATTTTGATAAATATTTTTTAAAAATAATTGAATTTTGATAAATATTTTTTTAAAATAATTGAATTTTGATAAATATTTTTTAGAATTAGAAATAATTGAAATTTGATGGAATCTTTCTAAAATAATTGAATTTTGATAAACATCATTTAAAAATAATTAAATTTTTATCAAATCTTTTTATAATAATTCAATTTTTATCAAATTTTTCAAAAACAATTGAATTTTGGTAAAATCTTTCAAAAATAATTGAATTTTGATAAATATCTTTTAAAAATCATTGAATTTTCATCAAATCCTTCAAAAATAATTGAACTTTGTTGAAATCTTTTTAAAATAATTGAATTTTTATCCATTTTTTTAAAAATAATTGAATTTTGTTAAAATAATTCAAAAATAATTGAATTTTGATAAATATCTTTTAAAAATCATTGAATTTTCATCAAATCCTTCAAAAATAATTGAACTTTGTTAAAATCTTTTTAAAATAATTGAATTTTTATCCATTCTTTTAAAAATAATTGAATTTTTATCAAATCTTTCAAAAACAATTGAATTTTTATCAAATTTTTCAAAAATA